AATCAAACAGACGTTCCGATATACAACCACACGTACTCTCGATCCCTCAACGTAAGCGACAGTGAGCTGATTTCGTCCCCCCTCCCCCTCTCAAACCCACCCCATGTTTATCTTGAAGCCATAGCCTTTAGTCCTTTAGAACTGATGGGTTTTTTTTAGACCACTAATAAAAGTAACCTGTGTTGTGATAAACATGGAAATTCATGTTGAGCACGAATTCGTTTCTTACCCATCATAGTTCATTTAAGGAGCCCGATACAATAATGGATGACGCAATAAAACACACGAAAGCACATTTTTAAAAACCCAAAAAACTTGCCTTATTATAGCTCGAGGCTTGAACCCCGCCACAGTGACGCCACTGCAGATCATGTGATCGACGTCTATACTTTGTGGCATGGGGAATCCCCCTGCTTCTCCTTGCAAGGAGACGGTGTCCTCTCCGGGACTGAACGGCCCTGGTGTGTCGAACAACTTCCCTTGAGATGATGCCTTCATTCTCCTTTCTTCGATTATCTCGAGGTGATGTTGCAGATCTTCTACAGTGTTCGGCATCTTGTGATCAGCGGGGCTGCTACTCCGCTTTTTGCTGCTGCTCTCGGCATTCCCCGATATGATGTTATCTTTCATTGTCATAGGCCCGTTGCGTTCGGATTCAGGTATCATACTGTGTTGGTGTTGATGTACACCATCGTGTTTTGTGGCTACGTTTTCATCAACTTCTTTGATATGACTATTGCCTCTGTATTTTAGCATCTCACAAGACGGAGAGGTCGTTGGGAATGTAAGCAAATTTTGGTTGATTTTGTTACTTTGATTTCTAGGCTCTCTGACTAATAACGAACATGGATACCAATCAGAAGGCATAGCATTGTGTATTTTGGAGAATGTGGGATCACAAGGGCGTTCCAATGAATCTGTCCTTGAACCCTGTTGATACAGACTACTATCTGCGTTTTTATCAAAACCAACAGGACACATTTTGTCAGGATCTGACACACCTGCAGAAACGTATTGAACAGGATTCTCATTTCCGAGAGAATATAATTTGTTTGTTGAGCCTCTGAATAAGTTTTTTTCAATCATTCCTTGAGAAGATGGTTTTAGACGTTCCGTCGGAGAAGCATCAATAATATTTCCTCTGTCATCTCGGTTTGTAGCAGGCCTACATTCCCCTTCTGGGAGTGAATGAGACCAATCGAATACATTTTCATTTTGCTGTATCGTTTCAAATGACGACATACCCCTATTTGACGCAATGCAGGCATAGACTTGTTCCCCGTGCTTTTTCTGGCATGACTCTAGCCCACCAGAATGAGGAAGAGATTGTGCACTGCTTTGTGGCAAGTGCCCATCTGTGTCTTGCAACAAACTTGTAAAAGGCCACGATTGACTTAACCCGTAGGTTGGAGACTCCTGAGTATCAAAACTGACTTGGTACGCAGAATTCATAACGTCATTTGGCTCGTCTGTTGCACAGCAATTGTCAAGAAAACTCCCACAACCTTCCACGTCAGTAAACTGTGAAGCCATAGATTCGAACTCTCTACCACTACCAGAGTGCCATTCATTCTCGTTGATGTTTGGTTCACACACCGATCTCGAGACAGAAGAGTAAAGACCATCCACAGCAGGTTGTTCATGCTGGTGCGTAAAGGTGAAGTCATTACTCTTGTTTTCGACGATTCCTTCCAATACATTACAGGAGGTTGATATCACCGTGGAAATGTTAATAAAGCTGTTTTCGCAACAAGAAGCAGTTTTATCCAACGGAGATTCCAAGTTCTGGTCAAGTCCCAGAAAACGCTGATCCATCTTTAAGTCTTAATTGTAACGTGATCTTTTCATCACAGAGCCGGGGAAACTGAAAGACAAAAGAGGGGTACGTACGTAGGTCATATACACCTTGAACATTTCAGAAGAAGAAGAAGGAGGATGGGGAGGAGGAGGATGAGGAGGAGGAGGAGGAGGAGGAGGAGGAGGAGGACGAACTATGAGGACGATGACGACGACGACGACGACGAAAACGGCAAAATGACGTCCGAATGATTTAAGCAGCAGCAATTACAGTGGCAACGATGACAACAAAGGTATGCACATTTTTTGTTTCCATAACAATTGATCATTATTTCATGTTCCTTGAGGGCATATAACACGATCAGCTAAAACTGACAATTGTCCGTCTTCTTTGTGATTAAAAAAATAATAGTAATAAAACTACAAGCTAGCTATTTATGATGCATTCTTCGTTGGGTTTTTTTTTTAATCCTCCTTTTTTATCATCAAAATCCACCAAGAGTCACCATGAGTCATATTAATGTATACGCTGGTTCCGAGTTTGAGTTTTACGAAAGGATGTAGTTTTCAATAAGTTTATAAACGAATAAAATTATAATAATCATTGTGGCCGGCGGCCGCAGGCGTGCTAGCCATAGTATAGCTAGCAGACCATCGGACCGGGCGGATGGGAAGAAAATAATAATAAAAATACAGGCTATACCAGGCACAAGCGGCGTTTTTCGGCCTGCTGGCATGGATCATAGGCTATTATTATATCAAGGACCTTTAATATAACCTCCCTGGCTACAGTCTTGATCACAAGTCACGGTTTCAGTTTGTTAGTTTATTTGTTTTATACGAAGTGGGTCGGATAACTGAAAGAATATCGAGAGCGAGCCGATGAACTATCTTATTCAACACAAGGCATTGAAATACAATGCAGAAAAATGATAATAACCAACCTATAAATTATCAGTACACGTACAAAATTCACCAACAAAATCGTTAACTTAATATTATATCACAACAAAATGTACATGTACATGACCTGCGTTTTCCATTATAAAAAGGAAAAAATTGTGAAGTCCCCAAATTATGATGATTGTGAGTTACTAGGGACGAGCCGGGGATGATTTTATAAAATAAATGAGAGATTTGCCAAATTAAAGCCGAGCAAGAGCGTGATACATCCAGGATGTCATATGGTCAAATATGTAAAATTTTGTAGAGTTCAACGACATTATTAACTTTTTGTTTTGATAACCTATTTAAGCTCTCTGCCTTTGAACACGCTTGATCTTTCCGACGAATCATGAAGGAGTAAAACGGAGAATTGATTATTTAGCGGGAGGAGTTTAGAAGCGAGAAAAATCTGGGAATAAATAAGTAAGCCATCATGGCGTCCCCCATAGAAAACAGCGGCAGTACACAAAGACCAGTGCCAATGGAATCACAATCTATTGTAAGTATTCTGTTAAAATTGTCTTATTCTGTCGACGCTGAAATTTTAATAGAGTCTAGTACCGTTAGAGCTATCGACCGACGAAAGATTTAGTGCAGAATGCCTCCCCACCCCCGATTTTCTCAACTCAATCAAGTCCACTTTCCTTTCTTCTAACGAACACTCTACTAACCAGTACTAACAGTAACGGACTAACAGAACAGTTGCAGCAGTGTCTTCTTAGTACTCTTAGTAGTCTTAGACTGTACTGTAAACTTGTAGTAGATCTAGATGTAGATCTAGATCCAGAGATCTAGATCTAGATCTACTGAGGCTACAAACAACATTGACGACAGACTTTCACTGGTCAATAAGACAATAAGACGGACAATGGACATTGCAAACAATAACTGTTGTCTACTCATCAGTACAGTCTAGCCTTACTCAAAGTTACTGTGTAAGATCTACTTTTAAGTTTTATACAATTTATGAGCCTCTGCCAGAACCACAGCATTTTTTACATTTAGATCTAGATCTAGGTCTTTGGGCCGGCTCTATTTCCCCGAATGCTAGGGAAAATAAATTTGAACACTGATGAAGCTACAGCGAGCACTTCATCGCCGACTGCCCACGGGCCACTGCTTGGGCCTGGGCTGTGTGTGTGCGCGTGTGTACAGTTTGTGTGTGGGCGCTTGTGTGTATGTGTGTGCGTGTGCTTGTGTGTGTGTGCTTGCATGTGTGTGCGTGTGCTTGCATGTGTGTGCGTGTTCATGTGTTTGTGTGTCATAATAATAATAATAATTATAGCATTTATACTGCACATTTCCATTTTCTAAACGAAGTGACTATTCGGACTCGAGTCCGAATATGAAAAAATGTTATTCGGACTCTGATTCTTGTCCAGCATGACATCACCATGGGTGCCAGACCTCCGGGCTGACAAAATTACACAGCATCACTTTCCGGGTTGCATCGGGTCTTTAAAAAAAAAAAAAACACCCCGAAAAAGTTAGTCGGGCCGGTCATCAAGACCTGTCAGTGGAACATTCAAACGATCATTCTCTTCACGTGACATGACCTCGTATGTGTGAGTAGCGCGTGTGTCGGGGACTGTCGGCTGTCGTGGTCAACAAAGTTCATTCGCATCGGTCGAGGTGTTTTTCGGGACTTTACTACTTAGAAAGTGGCTATTCTCACCCGCCCGGAAGTTCTCGCAAGATCTACTCCTCCCCTCTTCTCTCTCTC